TAGATATATTCATGTCACTATATTTTAATTTTCACATAACTTTGAAAGTGTCATGTATCCTTGTAGGGGTGTAGATGATGTCATGATGTTAGGTATTAAGTGTTGTATGTTTTCTTGGTAGCATGTCTAAGAAAGGGGTATATTTGAATATGATGTATACAAAAATGTCATTTAAAAAAGGGGGATATGGTCTATGTGGTATTTTTCCTTATATATATACAGTGGGGAGAACAAGTATTTGATACACTGCCGATTTTGCAGGTTTTCCTACTTACAAAGCATGTAGAGGTCTGTCATTTCTATCATAGGTACACTTCAACTGTGAGAGACGGAATCTAAAACAAAAATCCAGAAAATCACATTGTATGATTTTTAAGTAATTAATTTGCATTTTATTGCATGACATAAGTATTTGATACATCAGAAAAGCAGAACTTAATATTTGGTACAGAAACCTTTGTTTGCAATTACAGAGATCATACGTTTCCTGTAGGTCTTGACCAGGTTTGCACACACTGCAGCAGGGATTTTGGCCCACTCCTTCATACAGACCTTCTCCAGATCCTTCAGGTTTCGGGGATGTCGCTGGGCAATACGGACTTTCAGCTCCCTCCAAAGATTTTCTATTGGGTTCAGGTCTGGAGACTGGCTAGGCCACTCCAGGACCTTGAGATGCTTCTTACGGAGCCACTCCTTAGTTGCCCTGGCTGTGTGTTTCGGGTCGTTGTCATGCTGGAAGACCCAGCCACGACCCATCTTCAATGCTCTTACTGAGGGAAGGAGGTTGTTGGCCAAGATCTCGCGATACATGGCCCCATCCATCCTCCCCTCAATACGGTGCAGTCGTCCTGTCCCCTTTGCAGAAAAGCATCCCCAAAGAATGATGTTTCCACCTCCATGCTTCACGGTTGGGATGGTGTTCTTGGGGTTGTACTCATCCTTCTTCTTCCTCCAAACACGGCGAGTGGAGTTTAGACCAAAAAGCTATATTTTTGTCTCATCAGACCACATGGCCTTCTCCCATTCCTCCTCTGGATCATCCAGATGGTCATTGGCAAACTTCAGACGGGCCTGGACATGCGCTGGCTTGAGCAGGGTGACCTTGCGTGTGCTGCAGGATTTTAATCCATGACGGCGTAGTGTGTTACTAATGGTTTTCTTTGAGGCTGTGGTCCCAGCTCTCTTCAGGTCATTGACCAGGTCCTGACGTGTAGTTCTGGGCTGATCCCTCACCTTCCTCATGATCATTGATGCTCCACGAGGTGAGATCTTGCATGGAGCCCCAGACCGAGGGTGATTGACCGTCATCTTGAACTTCTTCCATTTTCTAATAATTGCGCCAACAGTTGTTGCCTTCTCACCAAGCTGCTTGCCTATTGTCCTGTAGCCCATCCCAGCCTTGTGCAGGTCTACAATTTTATCCCTGATGTCCTTACACAGCTCTCTGGTCTTGGCCATTGTGGAGAGGTTGGAGTCTGTTTGATTGAGTGTGTGGACAGGTGTCTTTTATACAGGTAACAAGTTCAAACAGGTGCAGTTAATACAGGTAATGAGTGGAGAACAGGAGGTCTTCTTAAAGAAAAACTAACAGGTCTGTGAGAGCCGGAATTCTTACTGGTTGGTAGGTGATCAAATACTTATGTCATGCAATAAAATGCAAATTAATTACTTAAAAATCATACAATGTGATTTTCTGGATTTTTGTTTTAGATTCCATCTCTCACAGTTGAAGTGTACCTATGATAAAAATTACAGACCTCTACATGCTTTGTAAGTAGGAAAACCTGCAAAATCGGCAGTGTATCAAATACTTGTTCTCCCCACTGTATATACAGTGAGCTCCATAATTCATTGGACAGTGACCTTTTTTTTGTTATTTTGGTTCTGTACTCTAGCACTTTGAATTTGAAAGGATACAATGACAATGAGGGTGAAGTGCAGACTGTCAGCTTTAATTTGAGGGTATTTTCATACATATCGGATGAACCGTTTATAAATTATAGAAGCTTTTGTACATGGTCCCCCCCATTTTCGGGCATCAAAAAACTTTGGACAGTTTAACATAATGTAGAATAAAGTAATTGTTGTTAATATTTGGTCGCATATCCTTTGCATGCAATGACTGCTTGAAGTCTGCAATGCATCGACATCACCAGACGCTGGGTATCTTCCCTGGTGATGCTCTGCCAGGCCTGTATTGCAGCCTTCTTCAGTTCCTGCTTGTTTCGGGGACTTATTGCCTTCAGTCTCCTCTTCAGCATGTAAAATGCATGTTCAATTGGATTCAGATCAGGTGATTGACTCGGCCAGTCAAGGATTTTCCACTTTTTGGCCATCAAAAACCCCTTCGTTGCTCTAGCAGTATGTTTAGGGTCATTGTCTTGTTGCATGATGAAGTGCCGTCCAATGAGTTTGGAGGCATTTGGTTTTATCTGAGCAAATAAAATATTTCTGTAGACTTCAGAATTCATTGTTCAACTTCTGTCTGCAGTCACATCATCGATGAAGACAAGTGAGCCTGTTCCACTGGCAGCCATACAGGCCCAAGCCATAACACCCCCTCCACCATGTTTCACGGATGAGGTGGTATGCTTTGGATCATGGGCATTTCTTTTTTTTCTCCACACTTTCCTCTTTCCATCACTCTGGTACATGTTAATCTTTGTCTCATCTGTCCACAATACTTTTTTCCAGAACTCTTGGGGCTCTTTTAGGTGCTTTTTAGCAAACTGTAATCTCGCCTTTCTGTTCTTCAGGCTTATCAGTGGTTTGCATCTTGTAGTGTACCCTCTGTAGTCCTGCTGGTGTAGTCTTCTACGTATGGTAGACTTTGACACATCTACACCTGCATCCAGGAGAGTGTTTTTGATCTGTTGGGCTGTTGTCAGGTGGGTTTTCCTCTCCATAGAGAGTATTCTCCGGTCATCCACTACAGTGGTCTTCCTCGTTCTACCGGGTCTTTTGACATAATTTAGTTCACCGGTTGTTTTTTTCTTGTTAATGATGAACCAAACTGTTGACTTGGTCATGGCCAGGTTTTTTTTGCAATGTTCCTGATTGATTGATTTTCATTTCTGAGCCTTATGACGGCCAGCTTCATTTGCATCGACACTGCTGTCTTCCTCATGTTGTCACACCCCAACAACAACCTCCAAAGGCAATAGCAAAGTCTAGAATCAATACTATTCATCAACAGCTCTTCTGCATTCACTAACGACACATATGAATACACCTGCCTAACAACACACATCTGTGAAGCCAATTTAACAAATACTTGTAGTACCTTAAAATGGGGGGACCATGTACAAAAGGTGCTGTCATTTCTAAACGGTTCATCCGATATGTATGAAAATACCCTCAAATTAAAGCTGACAGTCTGCACTTCACCCTCATTGTCATTGTATCCTTTCAAACTCAAAGTGCTAGAGTACAGAACCAAAATAACAAAAACATTGTCACTGTCCAATGAATTATGGAGCTCACTGTATATACATATATATATATTAGTAAGGTTTTGACTACATAGATTATTAGTATGAATATATAGTAGTTAAGCATGTCTATCTTTTACTCATACTGAAGTCATAAGCGTGTGAGAGGTTTGATAGGGCATGAGCTAAATGACTGAGAAGTTATACCTTTGTTGATCAAATATAGTGGGAATCTTGTTGGATTCAGGTATAGAAGGTATAGGGGGATACATTCTCAGTTATCTGGCATAATTAAGAATCTAATCATATATGTATACTACTGATTGGAGAACATTTGATTTTATGTGAATTTTATGTGAAGTGTTGGGGTTTAAGTAATGTTATATTTAATGAATTGTTACTTACCATAGACATAAAAAAAGATGGATTGATATGATGAGGATATGGGGCCATTACATATGAGTGTGTGTAACTATGTTAAAGTTAGTAGAGATAAGTGGTTCTGGGTGACTATGTCTGAAGCAGAAATTCCAATCTGTACAAGGAAGATAGTGGGGTTTGTATTAGAATGATGTACGGAGGGAACGTCCTGCTTGGGGGTAAGAGGCCATGACATAGAAGGGGTAGTGCTCATTGACGATGGCCAGATGTGGTTGAGGAAATGTGTAACCAAGAGTATAAAAGATGCGAGATTTGTGTATGTGGGGAGTTCAATTGACAAAGGGCAAAGCTATGTCCGTTTATTAGATGAAACCACGAGCTCGTGATCAAATAAATACTTGGTAAAATCTCCACACAATGTCTAAGTAAATTCTTGCATCTTCAACTTTTCAATACCAGAAACTCATCATAACTGTGGTGAATAATGGACGGAGTCAGGCGCAGGAGTAAAATCACGAAATGCAGAGTATATTCCTTACAGCAGTTGAATGCGCTAACAGCGCCACTCGAAACAGGTACAGGGGAAAACAATCCAACCTGACCAAACACAGTCTCGGAAAATACAACAACCGTAATGACAAAGGGGAAAAATCAACCCTGGCACAAAAGACATGAGCGAGTATCTCAACGAGCTACTCTCCTCCCACAATGAACAATCACTCACAAAGACAAGGGGACAGAGGGAACACTTATACACATACTAATTAGGGGAATGAGCACCAGGTGTGTGTGATTGACAAGACAAGACATAACAAGTGGAGTGATGAGAATGGGATCGGCAGTAGCTAGTACTCCGGTGACGACGAACGCCGAAACCTGCCCAAACAAGGAGGGGAGGCAGCCTCGGCGGAAGTCGTGACAATAACAAAGTCTTAGTTTCATATTCTGGAGTAGATTCTCTTACAGCTTTTTGTAAGTGTCTCCAAAAATACATAATTAATTGAGTGTATATAGGGCAAACACACAAGCGATACACTGGAATTTATAAAAATGTCACACACTTAAAACATACCCATCCATCCATCTATGCATGCATGCATGCACGCACGCATGCTACCCCTTCCCAGTATACAGAGATGTAAGTCCTTGCACAGCGATGCACATGAGCAATGGAAAAACTCCTGGCTTTCATCCTGTCTCCGCCCACAGCCTGTCAGTCTCTCTCCGCAGCGTCACATTGGAGGAGAGGAGGAGCTGCTCTGCCCAATGGAATGCCCCCTCATCCTGTAGGGAGAGGGGCAGCGACTCAAGGGGAAGGGACTGACCGTTCACCTTTAGCTTGGTCACCTGTGGGACAGACAACACAGGTTGGTAAGGTACAGGGTCTACAGTGACTAGTGTCTGGGTAAACATAGTTATGGACTGTAATAATGAATCAGAGTATTCATATCAAAGTCTTATTTGTGAATCAGGAATAGTGAATCGTGAGTTGTACAAAGTCACTCATGAATCATAAAGTGAATTGAATCAGACTGACCAGAGGGTTGAGGGCTTCCAGGACATCAGGGCTAGATTGTCCCAGCAGAGTCAGAGCAGCTTTAGGCAACGCTACAGAAACACAAAACACAGGGGTTAGAGAATGCAACACACACACACACACACACACACACACACACACACACACACACACACACACACACACACACACACACACACACACACACACACACACACACACACACACACACACACACACACACACACACACACACACACACACACACACACACACACACACACACACACACACACACACACACACACACACACACACACTCACCATCCAAGGCGCTGACCAGCAGGTGAGTGGCGGTCAGGTGAGGGGATATATTCTGTGTCAGATATGACTGTGCCTGGTCTAAAAACTCCACCAAACAATACCATCAGACAAGGGCTGCATTCCAAATGGCCCCTTTCTACCTGTATAGTGTACTACATTTGGCCCTGGGTACTGTGACACTTACCATGTGTTCCAGAACCGAGAGTGTGGTTCTGTCCACTAGAACCTCCCGGAGACTCTGGAACAGAGCGAACCGGGTGGACTCTGGGAGAACCGCTAACTGACCTACATAGACCTCCAAGTCCAACTCCTGCAAGTCTGTAGGGGAGAGGGAGACAAATAACCAATCAGAGCTTGACTTTTCTGATGACACATCACTGACGATATGACGAATAGACCGCTATATGATGCTAACAGAGAAATTCCTTTATCAAAGATAAAGGTGTAGTATAGAGAAACTATCGAGGTTAGCTAGCCAGCTACATTCGTTCGCAGCGACGCCATTTTTTCAAACAAAGTCAACACCACAGCCATTGCTAGCTAGCCAACACTACCAGCTAGCAGTACTGTAGCAACTAAATACAATATCATTTTAGTCAATGAGAATTTTGCAACGCAAAGCTTCACTTTCTGAACATTCGAGATGGGTAGTCCACTTGTGTAGCTAGCATGACTGACTTTGTGCTAGCTAGCCAACGTTAAATTATTTATGCGTTATGAAAGGAACTAGACACGGACACAAATTATCTGTTTAGTGTTATAACACACTATTGGTAGTTTGTGTTATTGGATGCTAGCATGCTAGTTAGCTATGGCGTCATAGCATACGGTGCCCTGGGCGGTTTTCACGGAAGAATACTGTACCAAGTTAGCTAGCTGAATAAAGTAAGTTAGAGTCTATTCCTAGAAACATTGAACCGCTGTAGTTTACAACAATTATAAATTCTGGAAGTTGGGAGAGTTATATTTGAGTGTTTCAGTGAAAGGTAAGTGAGGGAGGCCCTGCTATCGCGCTTCCCCAGATTTTTAGTTAATTTTATTCTGATCTCTTTTGCATTATTGTAGCCTTTTCTGTAGCCTGTCAACTATGTGTCTATCCCTGTTCTCTCCTCTCTGCACAGGCCATACAAACGCTTCACACCGCGTGGCTGCTGCCACTCTAATCTGGTGGTCCCTACGCGCACGATCCACGTGGAGTTCCAGGTCTTCGGCAGCCTCTGGAACTGCCGTTCTGCGGCCAACAAGGCAGAGTTCATCTCAGCCTATGCTACCCTCCAGTCCCTCGACTTCTTGGCGCTGACGGAAACATGGATTACCACAGAAAACACTGCAACTCCTACTGCTCTTTCCTTGTCTGATCATATGTTCTCGCATACCCCAAGAGCATCTGGTCAGCGCGGCGGTGGCACAGGAATCCTCATCTCTCCCAAGTGGACATTCTCTCTTTTCCCCCTGACCCATCTGTCTATCTCCTCATTTGAATTCCATGCTGTCACAGTCACTAGCCCATTCAAGCTTAACATCCTTATAATTTATTGCCCTCCAGGTTCCCTTGGAGAGTTCATCAATGAGCTTGACGCCTGGATAAGTTCCTTTCCTGAGGATGGCTCACCCCTCACAGTTCTGGGTGACTTTAACCTCCCTACGTCTGCCTTTGACTCATTTCTCTCTGCCTCCTTCTTTCCACTCCTTTCCTCTTTTGACCTCACCCTCTCACCGTCCCCCCCTACTCACAAGGCAGGCAATACGCTTGACCTCATCTTTACTAGATGCTGTTCTTCTATTAATCTCACTGCAACTCCCCTTCAAGTCTCCGACCACTACTTTGTATCCTTTTCTCTCTCGCGCTCCTCCAACACTCCTCACTCTGCCCCTATTCAGATGGTAATGTGCCTTCGCAACCTTCGCTCTCTCTCTCCTGCTACTCTCTCCTCTTCCATCCTATAATTTCTTCCCTCTGCTAAATCCTTCTCCCTCCGATCTTCTGATTCTGCCTCCTCAACCCTCCTCTCCTCCCTTTCTGCATCTTTTGACTCTCTATGTCCCCTATCCTCCCGGCCGGCTCGGTCCTCCCCTCCTGCTCCGTGGCTTGACGTCTCATTGCGAGCTCACATAACAGGGCTCCGGGCAGCCGAGCGGACTCCCTGCGGACCTGTCATCTTTTCACTCCCTCCTCTCTACATTTTCTTCCTCTGTTTCTGCTGCTAAAGCCACTTTCTACCACTCTAAATTTCAAGCCTTGCCTCTAACCCTAGGAAGCTCTTTGCCACCTTCTCCTCCCTGCTGAATCATCCTCCTCCTCACCCTCCCTCCTCCCTCTCTGTGGATGACTTCGTCAACCATTTTGAAAAGAAGGTTAACAACATCCGATCCTCATTTATTAAGTCAAATGACACCGCTGGTCCTGCTCACACTGCCCTACCCTATGCTTTGACTTCTTTCTCCCCTCTCTCTCCAGATGAAATCTTGCGACTTGTGACGGCCGGCCGCCCAACAACCTGCCCGCTTGACCCTATCCCCTCCTCTCTTCTCCAGACCATTTCCGGAGACCTTCTCCCTTATCTCACCTCGCTCATCAACTCATCCTTGAACGCTGGCCATGTCCCTTCCGTCTTCAAGAGAGCGAGAGTTGCACCCCTCCTCAAAAAACCTACACTCGACCCCTCCGATGTCAACAACTACAGACCAGTATCCCTTCTTTCTTTTCTCTCCAAAACTCTTGAGCGTGCCGTCTCTAGCCAACTCTCCTGCTATCTCTCTCAGAATGACCTTCTTGATCCAAACCAGTCAGGTTTCATGACTGGTCATTCAACTGAAACTGCTCTTCTCTGTGTCACGGAGGCTCTCTGCACTGCTAAAGCTAACTCTCTCTCCTCTGCTCTTATCCTTCTAGACCTATCTGCTGCCTTTGATACTGTAAACCATTAGATCCTCCTCTCCACCCTCTCCGAGTTGGGCATCTCCGGCGCTGCTCACTCTTGGATTGCGTCCTACCTGACAGGTCGCTCCTACCAGGTGGCGTGGTGAGAATCTGTCTCTGCACCACGTGCTCTCACCACTGGTGTCCCCCAGGGCTCAGTTCTAGGCCCTCTCCTATTCTCTCTATACACCAAGTCACTTGGCTCTGTCATATCCTCACATGGTCTCTTCTACCATTGCTACGCAGACGACACACAATTCATTTTCTCCTTTCCCCCTTCTGATAACCAGGTGGCGAATCACATCTCTGCATGTCTGGCAGACATATCAGTGTGGATGTCGGATCACCACCTCAACCTGAACCTCGGCAAGACGGAGCTGCTCTTCCTTTCGGGGAAGGACTGCCCGCTCCATGATCTCGCCATCACGGTTGACAACTCCATTGTGTCCTCCTCCCAGAGCGCAAAGAACCTTGGCGTGACCCTGGACAATACCCTGTCGTTCTCCGCTAAAATCAAAGCGGTGACCCGATCCTGCAGGTTCATGCTCTACAACATTTGCATAGTACGACCCTACCTTACACAGAAAGCGGCACAGGTCCTAATCCAGGCACTTGTCATCTCCCGTCTGGATTACTGCAACTCGCTGTTGGCTGGGCTCCCTGCCTGTGCCATTAAACCCCTACAACTTATCCAGAATGCTGCAGCCCGTCTGGTGTTCAACCTTCCCAAGTTCTCTCATGTCACCCCGCTCCTCCGCACACTCCACTGGCTTCCAGTTGAAGCTTGCATCTACTACAAAACCATGGTGCTTGCCTACGGAGCTGTGAGGGGAACGGCACCCAAACGAGGGAACTATGTTCATCCACCTCTGGCCTGCTAGCCCCCCTACCTCTACGGAAGCACAGTTCCCGCTCAGCCCAGTCAAAGCTATTCACTGCTCTGGCACCCCAAAGGTGGAACAAGCTCCCCCACGACGCCAGGACAGCGGAGTCACTGACCACCTTCCGGAGACACTTGAAACCCTACCTCTTTAAGGAATACCTGGAATAGTCTAACTGTAATCCTTCTACACCCCCCCTCCCCCAGTGGTGGTTGTCCCACTGGCTATCCTAAGTTGAATGCACCAATTTGTAAGAACACACACCTGATATACACTTATAATAACATGTAATAATATGTAATAATATGTAAGAACACACACCTGATATATACACACATGTAATAACATGTAATAATATGTAAGAACACACACCTGATATACACGTATAATAACATGTACGTGGTCCTCTGTAGCTCAGCTGGTAGAGCACGGCACTTGTAACGCCAAGGTAGTGGGTTCGATCCCCGGGACCACCCATACACAAAAATGTATGCACGCATGACTGTAAGTCGCTTTGGATAAAAGCGTCTGCTAAATGGCATATTATTATTATTATTATGTAGTAATATGTAAGAACACACACCTGATATATACACACACGTAATAACATGTAATAATATGTAAGAACACACACCTGATATACATGTATAATAACCCACCTGTACAGTTTGTTTCCCTAGTTTGCCCAGTAGTCCCAGAACCCCCTGGCATTTGCCCTGTTCCTGGACCTGTTCTGAGATGGAGCAGGGGGTGGTGGTCAGGACTCTCTCCTTCAACACAGCAAACACCCCTGCACGCTTCTGACACTGCTGCACTAGCACATGCTGCATGTCCACCATCCTACACACAGAGAGAGAGGGAGGTTAAAGAGATTGAGAGGGATGTACATCAAGACAACTGGAGAGACTGGGTCTGGTGTGAGGAAGGAATCACAAATAGAGATGGAGAGAGAGAGAGATGGACTAACTATTTGCCCATCGTTATAACACTGTACATAGCCATAATATTACATTTGAAATGAATCTATTCCTTTGGAACTTTTGTGAGTGTAATGCTTACTGTTCATTTTTGATTGTTTATTTAACTTTGGTTTATTATCTATTTCACTTGCTTTGGCAATGTAAACATATGTTTCCCATGCCAATAAAGCCGTTTGAGTTTAATTGAATTGAGGGGGGGGGGTGGGGGGTGAGAGAGAGAGATCGAGACAGAGAGAGAGAGAGAGAGAGAGTGAGAAGGAGAGAGAGAAGGAGAGAGAGAGAGAGGGAGAGAGAGAGAACAGTACCTGTCATTGGAGGCCAGCAGTAGCTTCCGTACATCAACATCCTGCTTCTTCAGTTTACCGAATGATGATTGGAGCTTGGAGGAGCCCCGCCTCTCAATGTTGACACTGACGTTCCCAGCCTTGGCGTCCAGCTTCCCACTCCGGTTGTCTCCAAACCTCCCATCATAGGACAGGAAGTCTGACTCAGACACGTCTGAGAGAGCAAGCACAGAGACAGAGACAAGAGTGTAGGAAGAGTGCACCCACATTCAGAGAGACAGACAGAGAGACAGACAGAGAGACAGAGAGACAGACAGACAGACAGACAGACAGACAGACAGACAGACAGACAGACAGACAGACAGACAGACAGAAAAAACACAAAGTAGGATTAAGTCAGATAGGTGTGTAAGATATGAATGGCCAGATATGTTTTAGACAGCAGTGCTTGGGCAAAATAAGAAATGTATGTGAGGTGTATATGAGGAGTAACCATGGCTCTACTTTACCTGGAATTAGTTATTTGTCTCCTAGCAACATGTGACTGAGTGTGAAGCCAGAGGGCTGGTACTTTTGGCAGAACCAGAAACGGTTGCGCTTGACGACCAGTGCCATGGGAACCAGTTTGTCTGAGTCGTTAAGGCGGCAAACAGAGATCAGAGTTCCTTCCGGGTCGATCTGACGGACAAAGTTTGCGGTTGCCTTGGCAAACACCACTTGTGGGGGGGGCAGGGCCAACACCTGTAGGAAGGCGGAGTCTAAATTACACACAAACGCCTCAAACGCTAGAGTAGGATGAAGTCACCTATGGCAATTTACAGTGGGGTCCGAAATTATTTATAAGTATCCTTAGGGGTGTCAATAATTTTGACCACTACCTTTTTGAGAATTTTTGTTTTTACTTGTTAAACAAAATATTTTTCTCTGTTAGTATAAAATAATATGATTTACACCTTTTTTGGAGCATACAATATAGCTCATTATTTGAATTATTTATTTTATACAGTCATTATTGGTCATCTTTATCAAGGGTGGTGTCAATAAAGTAGTCAAAAGTGTTTTATTTGGTCCCATATTCCCAGCACACAATGACTAAATCAAGCTTGTGACTCTACAAACTTGTTGGATGCATTTGCAGTTAATTTTGGTTGTGTTTCAGATTATTTTGTGCCAAATAGAAATGAATGGTACATTTTATTTAACCTTTTTTTAAGCAGGGAGTGATGCTGAGACCACTGTCTCTTTTGCAGATGAGCCCTGCATGAACACATCAGTAAACAACAATAACACTATACATATACAGTGGGGGAAAAAAAGTATTTAGTCAGCCACCAATTGTGCAAGTTCTCCCACTTAAAAAGATGAGAGAGGCCTGTAATTTTCATCATAGGTACACGTCAACTATGACAGACAAATTGAGAAAAAAAAATCCAGAAAATCACATTGTAGGATTTTTAATGAATTTATTTGCAAATTATGGTGGAAAATAAGTATTTGGTCACCTACAAACAAGCAAGATTTCTGGCTCTCACAGACCTGTAACTTCTTCTTTAAGAGGCTCCTCCGTCCTCCACTCGTTACCTGTATTAATGGCACCTGTTTGAACTTGTTATCAGTATAAAAGACACCTGTCCACAACCTCAAACAGTCACACTCCAAACTCCACTATGGCCAAGACCAAAGAGCTGTCAAAGGACACCAGAAACAAAATTGTAGACCTGCACCAGGCTGGGAAGACTGAATCTGCAATAGGTAAGCAGCTTGGTTTGAAGAAATCAACTGTGGGAGCAATTATTAGGAAATGGAAGACATACAACACCACTGATAATCTTCCTCGATCTGGGGCTCCATGCAAGATCTCACCCCGTGGGGTCAAAATGATCACAAGAACGGTGAGCAAAAATCCCAGAACCACACGGGGGGACCTAGTGAATGACCTGCAGAGAGCTGGGACCAAAGTAACAAAGCCTACCATCAGTAACACACTATGCCGCCAGGGACTCAAATCCTGCAGTGCCAGACGTGTCCCCCTGCTTAAGCCAGTACATGTCCAGGCCCGTCTGAAGTTTGCTAGAGTGCATTTGGATGATCCAGAAGAGGATTGGGAGAATGTCATATGGTCACATGAAACCCAAAACTTTTTGGTAAAAACTCAACTCGTCGTGTTTGGAGGACAAAGAATGCTGAGTTGCATCCAAAGAACACCATACCTACTGTGAAGCATGGGGGTGGAAACATCATGCTTTGGGGCTGTTTTTCTGCAAAGGGACCAGGACGACTGATCCGTGTAAAGGAAAGAATGAATGGGGCCATGTATCGTGAGATTTTGAGTGAAAACCTCCTTCCATCAGCAAGGGCATTGAAGATGAAACGTGGCTGGGTCTTTCAGCATGATAATGATCCCAAACACACCGCCCGGACAACGAAGGAGTGGCTTCGTAAGAAGCATTTCAAGGTCCTGGAGTGGCCTAGCCAGTCTCCAGATCTCAACCCCATAGAAAATCTTTGGAGGGAGTTGAAAGTCTGTGTTGCCCAGCGACAGCCCCAAAACATCACTGCTCTAGAGGAGATCTGCATGGAGGAATGGGCCAAAATACCAGCAACAGTGTGTGAAAACCTTGTGAAGACTTACAGAAAACGTTTGACCTGTGTCATTGCCAACAAAGGGTATATAACAAAGTATTGAGAAACTTTTGTTATTGACTAAATACTTATATTCCACCATAATTTGCAAATAAATTCATTAAAAATCCTACAATGTGATTTTCTGGATTTTCTTTTCTCATTTTGTCTGTCATAGTTGATGTGTACCTATGATGAAAATTACAGGCCTCTCTCATCTTTTTAAGTGGGAGAACTTGCACAATTGGTGGCTGACTAAATAATTTTTTCCCCCACTGTAGGTAACTACCAAAATAATGGAAGCGCTTGAGTAAATTAGGGATACCAATTATATTGAAAGCAGGTGCTTCCACACCGGTGTTGTTCATTAGTTAATTAAGTAATCAAGATCCCATCATGCTTAGGGTCATGTATTAAAATGCTGGGCAGGACATTATTTTGGCTACCATGGCTATGCCCCCATAGGATGACAATGCCCCCATCCACAGGGCACGAGTGGTCACTGAATGGTTTGATGAGCATGAAAACGATGTAAACCATATGCCATGGCCGTCTCAGCCACCAGATCTCAACCCAATTGAACACTTATGGGAGATTCTGGAGCGGCGCCTGAGACAGCATTTTCCACCTCCATCAACAAAATACCAAATGATGGAATTTCTCATGGAAGAATGGTGTTGCATCCCTCCAATAGAGTTCCAGACACTTGTAGAATCTAATCCAAGGTGCATTGAAGCTGTTCTGGCTTGTGGTGGCCCAACGCCCTATTAAGACACTTTATGTTGGTGTTTCCTTTATTTTGGCAGTTACATGTATGAGGGAAAAAAGTATTTGATCCCCTGCTGATTTTGTACGTTTGCCCACTGACAAAGAAATGATCAGTCTATAATTTTAATGGTAGGTTTATTTGAACAGAGAGAGACAGAATAACAACAAAAAAATCAAAAAACACGCATGTCAAAAATGTTATAAATTGATTTGCATTTTAATGAGGGAAATAAGTATTTGACCCCTCTGCAAAACATGACTTAGTACTTGGTGGCAAAACCTTTGTTGGCAATCACAGAGGTCAGATGTTTCTTGTAGTTGGCCACCAGGTTTGCACACATCTCAGGAGGGATTTTGTCCCACTCCTCTTTGCAGATCTTCTCCAAGTCATTAAGGTTTCGAGGCTGATGTTTGTCAACTCGAACCTTCAGCTCCCTCCACAGATTTTCTATGGGATTAAGGTCTGGAGACTGGCTAGGCCACTCCAGGACCTTAATGTGCTTCTTCTTGAGCCACTCCTTTGTTGCCTTGGCCGTGTGTTTTGGGTCATTGTCATGCTGGAATACCCATCCACGACCCATTTTCAATGTCCTGGCTGAGGGAAGGAGGTTCTCACCCAAGATTTGACGGTACATGGCCCCGTCCATCGTCCCTTTGATGCGGTGAAGTTGTCCTGTCGCCTTAGCAGAAAAACACCCCCAAAACATGGAGGTTTCCACCTCCATGTTTGACGGTGGGGATGGTGTTCTTGGGGTCATAGGCAGCATTCCTCCTCCTCCAAACACGGCGAGTTGAGTTGATGCCAAAGAGCTCAATTTTGGTCTCATCTGACCACAACACTTTTACCCAGTTCTCCTCTGAATCATTCAGATGTTCATTGGCAAACTTCAGACGGCCCTGTATATGTGCTTTCTTGAGCAGGGGGACCTTGCGGGCGCTGCAGGATTTCAGTCCTTCACGGCGTAGTGTGTTACCAATTGTTTTCTTGGTGACTATGGTCCCAGCTGCCTTGAGATCATTGACAAGATCCTCCCGTGTAGTTCTGGGCTGATTCCTCACCGTTCTCATGTTCATTGCAACTCCACGAGGTGAGATCTTGCATGGAGCCCCAGGCCGAGGGAAATTGGCAGTTATTTTGTGTTTGTTCCATTTGCGAATAATCGTACCAACTGTTGTCACCTTCTCACCAAGCTGCTTGGCGATGGTTTTGTAGCCCATTCCAGCCTTGTGTAGGTCTACAATCTTGTCCCTGACATCCTTGGAGAGCTCTTTGGTCTTGTCCATGGTGGAGAGTTTGGAATCTGATTGATTGATTGCTTCTGTGGACAGGTGTCTTTTATACAGGTAACAAGCTGAGATTAGGAGCACTCCCTTTAAGAGTGTGCTCCTAATCTCAGCTCGTTACCTGTATAAAAGACACCTGGGAGCCAGAAATCTTTCTGATTGAGAGGGGGTCAAATACTTATTTCCCTCATTAAAATGCAAATCAATTTATAACATTTTTGACATGCGTGTTTTTTGATTTTTTTGTTGTTATTCTGTCTCTCTCTGTTCAAATAAACCTACCATTAAAATTATAGACTGATCATTTCTTTGTCAGTGGGCAAACGTACAAAATCAGCAGGGGATCAAATACTTTTTTCCTTCACTGTATATACACATCAATTACACAATACATGAAAAGCAAACACAAAACGTGAAACGCAAAACACAAGCATATGAAATATTCTTCAGTAAAAAACTATGCATTGTGTCATTTTGGAGTAACTTTTATTGTAAATAAGAATATAATATATTTATAAACACTTCTACATTAATGTGGATACTACCATGATTAGGGATAATCCTGAATGAATTGTGAATAATGATGAGTGAGAAAGTTACAGAGGGTCAAAGATCATACCCCCAAGATATGCTAACCTCTCACCATTAAATCAAATCAAATTTTATTTGCCACGTGCCGAATACAACAGGTGTAGACCTTACAGTGAAATGCTTACTTACAAGCCCTTAACCAACAATGCAGTTTTAAGAAAAGAAAAAAAAGTGTTAAGTAAAAAATAGATAAGTAAAAAATAAAAATAGCAAATAATTAAAGAGCAGCAGTAAAATAAAATAACAGTAGGGAGGCTATATACAGGGGGTACCGGTACAGAGTCAATGTGTGGGGGGCACCGGTTAGTCAAGGTAATTGAGGTAATATGTACATGTGGGTACAGTTAAAGTGACTATGCATAAATAATAAACAGAGTAGCAGCAGCGTAAACAAGGGGGATGGGGTGTGGTGGGGGGGCAGTGCAAATTAGTCCGGGTAGCCATGATTAGCTGTTCAGGAGTCTTATGGCTTGGGG